GCCAAGGGGTTAGCATCCAGCTTCTGCCCTCTCAGTAGGGAGTTCTTCTGGTTTCAGGCAGGCAGAGGTAAGCAGTGGTCCCACACGCATAGAATGTTCCTGCAGGGGGCACCAGGGATAGCTGGTGTTTTCAGCCTTGGAGGTAGAGTTGCATAGTTTCATCTGGGAGGTGACCTGTTGGATGTGGGCCCTGCGTACTGTTGAAACAAATAGGAGCAACATTAGTTAGCTGCACATTGGCCGTGACAGGTCCTATTATTATTTTTTCCGTCCAATACAATCCCCCCCCCCCCCACACACGTGCATTTGGTAGTAGAGTCATATCATGCCGCAGGCTGATAAGTATAGCTAACAAAAATCTGGCTTGATTGGGTTTTCTTGTGGACTACCTGGTCTAGCATATTTGGGTAGAGAGTTTCTAAGCAAGTAGCTATTATTCTCATGCACTCCTCAGTGTTAAAGAGCAAGAGAAGGAGTTGCTTGCAATCGACCCAAGTGGGCTTCTGGGTCTGACAGATTGGCTTGAGGTTTGTCAAAATAAATGGGAGTGTGATGCTTCCCATTTAAGATATCGGTCATAGTGAAAGGCTGGTAGTAAAAGACTGATCCCCCTCTTGTGGGGTCCTGTTTTCTCCAATTATATGAGGACCCTGCATTTCTTGGAAAGGCATCTGGAAAGCCAGGAGTGGTTTGGGTCCCCGATCAGCTGAGCGCAAATATCACCCAACTGGCTCTGGAGAGTCCAGTTGGGGGGAGACGGAAGGAGGTGGTGTATCTAGGCTTCCCTGGCTAGGCAGAGGGCCACTGGGTACTGCTTGAGGCATGTATGGAGGTGGTAGAACTGGCAGGGCTTCTTCAGGGGGTTCCTGCAGAATAGGAGGCTTATTCCCCTTCTGAGGGTCCTGCCCTTTTCCCTTATATACACAAAACCGGATCCAAAGCAGCTTAAGCTCTGCTATTTCTAGCCACTGGTCAATATAAGGGAACTGGTCGGGATGACCTGGGTCTCCTGTGATAATTCTGTGAACATTCCTGATCGTGGGGACATCCAATGTGCCCTCTGGTGGCCATCCTACTCGAAAAGATGGCCAGTCTATTTCACACATTCTTTTTAACTCCCAGGGGAATAGTTTTACTCCATAGTCCCCAACCAACCCCTTTTTTAAATTCTTTAACATACATTCTAAGACAGTAGAGTTTGAGGAGGAGCTATTACCCATGTTGCAGGGAGGGACTGGGTTGCCTCCTCTTTAAAAAATACCTGAATAAAAGAACTAATCAAAATAAGGCTGATTTTCTAACTTCGTTTGTCCTTGGGTGTGGACAGCAAATGACACTAATCAGATTTCTATCAGTCTCCCTGAGTACAATGACATAAACTATTTAACCTCTGTTTAGGGAGGCAAATAGAAATCATTTACTCCCAAGTGTCCTTGGTTTAGGGAAGACAGGATTTACAAGATGGCTCCAATGTCCTTGATTTAGGGAAGACAGGATTTAAGGATTTAGGGAAGACAGGATTTCTGCTCAGTTTCCCTATTCTACTTGTCCCAGCTTACTGGCCTGTCATCCATTCAACTTTCTTTCAACGTTTCTCTTTACCTTCCTCCATTACACCAAAGCCATACTTTTCAGTTAGTTAGAACTCTTAGCCTTAATTTTTAGGTGACATGTAAATAATTAACATTCCTCAGATTGGCAATACATTCATATTTTTTAAAGAGACACAAACAGAAATTTCACTAGCTAAACAATTTTAAACAAACAACAAAGATACATATTTAAACAATAATGACAGATAACATTCCCCATTAAAAACTTTGAATCACCATGGAAACTCGAGAGAGGTTTAGAAGGGTGTTTTTTTTAAAAAACAAAACAGAAACAAACAAACATAAAAACACCTTTACACCGGCATGCGCCGCATTTACACCACAGAAAACCACCAAATCAGTTTCAATTGGGCAGAGATACAGAACAAGTCCCTGAACAGAGGCAGTAGAAAACTGCCTAGGAACGCTTCTCTCCTATCTTTTTTTAAAAAGACAGGCTAGACTCGAACCCTTAGCCAGTCCGAGTTTTGACTTCCATCCCGGAAGTCCCAGAGACAATGAATACTGTCTAGAAGCCATTCCTCCAGATACAGGACAAGTCCCAGTCAGACAAGAAAAGCCACAAATACCTTTAAATCTACCCTAGAATTCCAAAATTTCAACCTAACACAGCAAAATCACAGACTAAGCAAACGTCCCTAGTACACAAACATAGACAGAAATTGTTACTAAGTGGCCTGATTCCTCCTGTGATAGAGAGCAAACGTCTCTGAGAAAACTAACTCAATAGCACTGCTTGAGACTTTTGCAGACCATCACCAGTTCAGCCTTCAGCAAATCAAACATTTTAACCAGATGAGCAAACAGAAAATCAAAGTAGCTTTTGCTTTCACACAGACCAGTTAATCAGCAGATAATTATGCCAAGACAGACAAACATCTGTACTCACACTCTCTCAGACTAGCCCAGACTGGAGCAGAGCAGATAATGCCCAACTCCCCAGATGGGGATGGGGGCACTCCTGGCATCCACACCCGAGACCAGAATTCTCAACCCACGTGTCGGTGAGAACCTACCAGAGGAGTTAAAGCTGCGTCCAGCCCCCCTTCTCGGTAGCAAATTGGCTAGTCCCACACACAAACAGAAGAGTGAACCTGTAATTCCTTAATTGAATCTGAATTCACTCACCACCAAAGTCCTGATTCCTGATTTACCTGACGAAGTCCTATGACTTCCGGGGAGGTGATCAAGCTCCCCCTTCCACTCACTTGGAGTGGGCCTGACTGACTGGGGCCCCTACCTTACAGATTCTGTCCACAGGTCCAGAGGTGTCCATCCACTTTCTCCAGATGCCGGCCGGGTCCTGAGCTGAGGTCTGGGAGCGCCTGGAATTCCCCCGCCCCCCGCCTCATTCAATTCTGCTAAAATCAGCAGCACGAGGTTCCGGAGGCCTGTCCCGCAACCCCGGGGCCCCAAACCCTGTCTAGGTCAGGGAACCATATGTTTCAGAAGACCAAAAAATACCAAGCACGTTTCCTAGAGAAAGGCAGGAACCCCATTTATTAACACTAGTGGACTCTGGGAATAATTTCCAAATAAGAGTGAAGTAACATGCAGAGGGCTTCACTTTTTATAACCTTCTGGGGTCTTTGTCTTGCAGATATGGTTCCACCCCCTTTTGTGGGCTTAAGGAAGGCCCCCAGGTGTTGGGGGTCCCCAGGCCATATCCGATGATCTATCCTGGAGCCAGCAATAATGACCTTCCCCCTCACCAGTGCCCCACCCCAGGGCAGTGCATTGTTCACAGTTTTTATGGCCTGACACACCTTGCAAGACCAGTTTCCTCCTCAATAGGATAAAGTGTTACTTTAACAATTAGACCTGACATATTTGTGGGAAGAGCTGGAGAATGGAGGGTCTGTAGGTGAGAAGAAACACCAATCCCAGTAGACCCTTTGTATCCTAATACCCTGAAGGTGGGAGGTGGGCAATGCTTTCCTGGGAACTTAAAAATCCTCTCAGGTGCCTGGGCCAGCAGCCCAGTACTGGCATTGGCCTCAGAGTCTATTCCTCCTTTTTGTGGTGCCTTCCAACCTCCCCCACCCTACCACCGCCCCCAGCCCCACTGCACCCTAACCATGAGGTTGGCTGATGCTCCAGGATGCTTTGGGATGGTGACCAAGGGATCGTGGAATCATCGTTGAGGAATAAAGTGATCCAGGGCTCAGTGACCAGATTGGGGCCATAAGGTGGAGACTCATGAGGAAGTCGGTGGGGAACTCCCTGCCTCGTTGGTTGAGCCAAGGGGTTAGGGGTCAAAAGGGCCTGGGGTGCTGTGGGCCTGCAAGGTCAGCAGTCAGGAAGAGCAGCTGGATGTAGGCACCGCTGTGTCTGTGCAGTCCTAAGAGAGGAAAGGTCACTGCCAATTCCTCCCTCAGCCAACTCTTTCCGGTGTTAACATAAAAAACAACAACAACAAAACAAAGCATTGAAACCTGTAAAGAATTTCTGTGAGTTTATTTGAGCTAAACTGTTGACATATGCCAGGAAGCAGAACCTCAACAAATTGAGATAATGCTCCAGAGAATGGTGGGTTACATCTGTATTTATACATTGCAATCAAAGGAGGGATGTGGGTGGGTTACAGGAATTCATTGGTGATAGATTAAGGAGGTGTGATAAAGCAAAGCAGGGGAAACCCCTGGGATTGGATAAAAAGTAAAATGATGGACACATACTTAGGTGGGTGCAGGAACAATTAACATGATAATGATGGAATTTGTGGTATTGGCTCTGGCGCCCAGCGCTTTTGGTTGTGCCCCAGGGGATCCAGAAAAAGGGAAGTTACAAGTTACCCAGACATTTCAAGGGTATGTTATCATAGATGCAAAAAGACAGGCTCAGTTAAGGTAAAGGTTGACCTTGTCAGTGAAGATACCGACCTAGGACGTAACTGCCCACTATAACTGCTTTTAAGGTTTAATTTCAGACCATCCTTTGTGGTTACTTTAGGTCTCTGATTTTGCAAGACTGCCATGCGGACCTCCCCTGAGCTTGTCAGGTCAACATGTGGCCCCTTTGGTCCACACCAGTACCACAGAGGGTTGGGTATCTGGGAACCAGATTGCCCTGCACACTCCAGAACAATGTTCATACTTGTAAGCTTGTGTGCAATGGTGAGTGTGAGTGTGTGAGCATGTGTACAACAGGTCTGAGGGTTGGTAAGTCATATAAGATCAATGTCACTGTTACCTCCACAGATATCCCAAGAAGATCGTGAGAAAATGAGGAGTGAAATGGTAAGAAGCTCTTCCCCATGTATAGATAGGGTGTGGGTGGGGGCCTGGGTTTTACTGTGGGAGGCTAAGAATGCCTGGCCCTCCTGGGGTCCAGGAGGGAGAAGGATCAGATCTCTTTGTCCCAACTCTATCTCTTTTTACAGCACAAGGCTTTAGACACATTCTGTGATAAACTCCAATACCAAGATATGGAGCAGGTGGGTCAGGGTTCCCACTCCTGTGCTCTGCACAATTTGGGTGGGGTGGTTTCACGATGATGATGGTGATGATGATGATGATGATGATGATGATGATGAAGGTGCCACCTCAGGTTGGCTCATTCCTTACACTGGACAAAATTCACACCTGTGTGCAGGTGAGTACACAGCTGGGGGATAGGAAGGCCCAGGGAGCCTGAGAAGTGTCCAAGCCATAGGTATACTGATAACAGAGCAGGTCCCCAGGCACATGGCTGGACCAGTTATGGGGAGATGGCGAGCTGAGAACAGGGGATAAGACTGAAAGTGAGGGAGGCCAGGGGAATTTAAACCAAGTCATTTTTTCCCAATAGGCCCACAGAGGCATAGAACAGCTGAAGGTGAGTTTTGGCCTCGCCCCTCCCCCAAAGCTTAGTCCCTAGGTGTTTGGCCGGGTCCGGTTATTGGGGTGAGCTTTGGCTCCCTTGGAGGTCACAGTGGGGACTACAGACCACAGCAGGCAGGAGCAGGTCTGCAGCCTCCACACCCTCCTCTCCTCAGAACAACTTCAATGAGGCTGCGCTTGATACCGTATTTGCTCACTGTGAGAACAACCGGGTGAGTCTGAGGCTCCTGTCAGAGCCCTCTGGGCTTCCCCTTCACCCCTAATCGCTTGTGATGTTGGCGCTGCCATGTGCACACACAGCCCCTGAGTGGGGTGGGTGGGGCGGGGTGGGGGTGGAGGGTGGCTGGCACCAGCTCCTGACCTCCCCCACAGCACACAGTGGCCAAAGCCCAGCCCTCAACTTCATGCGTTAATGAGGAACCCCCTGGGCCTGGTGCTGGCCTCAGAGGCCAGTCAGCCAACAAGCAGGTATGACCATCATGGTTTAGCTACAAAGGGGAGTTGGGGCGCTGAACCTCTGCGAGAAGTCTTTGTCTGTGGACTGCCGGCAGGAAAGCAGGCAGCTCCCTGTGTGAGCTTCTGTCAGGACCTGGTCAGACTCTACACATTCCCCACCCCCACAGGAATCTACTCCCTTACTTCCCGAGCAGCAGCAGGAACTGCATAACAGAGTCCATAGCCGGGTCTACCCTGGACAGAAACCAGGCCCGGAGCGGGACTCTGAGCCAGAAGGATCGCCCAACCAAAGTCCAGGTGATTGTGAGAGGATGCTTGTTTTTGTTTATTTTTAAAAATATATATTCTTATTGATTTCAGAGAGAAAGGGAGAGGGAGAGATAGAAACACCAATGATGAGAGAGAATTATTGATCAGCTGCCTCCTGCATGCCCCACACTGGGGATCAAGCCCACAACTTGGGCATGTGCCCTTGACCGGAATCGAACCTGGGACCCATCAGTCCATAGGCCGAACCTCTATCCCCTGAGCCAAACTGGCTAGGGCAAGAGGATGTTTATTAAAGCTGGGGACAGTGAAATGAATAGAGCTTAGGATAGAAGCGGCACCAGCAGAGAGCCTAGACAGGGCTGCTTTTGCTCACTGTTAATTTAGAGAAAGCGGGGGCCTAGGAGACAGGTTTGGGGAGGTCAGGCCATATGAGCTGCTGCTGCCCACTGCTCCTCTGGTTGCCAGTCTCCCGGGGACCCAGAGTTTAGGCCAGTGGTCGGCAAACTGCGGCTCAGCAAACTGCGGCTCACGAGCCACATGCGGCTCTTTGGCCCCTTGAGTGTGGCTCTTCCACAAAATTCCGGCTCTTCCACAAAATACTGACTTCTGCACATGAGCCACGAAGTTTCAATCGCACTGTACATGCACGCCCACACGCGGTATTTTGTGAAAGAGCCACACTGAGGGGCCAAAGAGCCGCATGTGGCTTGCGAGCTGCAGTTTGCTGACCACGGGTTTAGAGGATGCATGCCTAAAAGGGAAGAAAGGTGTGGGCTTGCTCATGGTCCTTTGTGTTGAGGGGTTTAAAGGCTGGGAGTTTAGAGGAGGTCTTGGGGAAGGATCTCAATAGAATATTCATCAGCTTTATGCTGATGTGCCAAAATGAGATGTGTTCCTTTAACTCAGCAATTCTCAACCTGTGGGTCGCGACCCCTTTGGGGGGTCAAACGACCCTTTTGCAGGGGTCGCCTAAGACCATCGGAAAACACATATATAATTACATATTGTTTTTGTGATTAATCACTATGCTTTAGTTATGTTCAATTTGTAACAATGAAATTGGGGGTCACCACAACATGAGGAGCTGTATTAAAGGGTCATGGCATTAGGAAGGTTGAGAACCACTGCTTTAACTTCACCTGTGCTTGGGTGTGGTTGGCACTAACTGGATTTCTGCTATCTATCTCCCTGAGTGGGGTGATTTAAGCTCTTTACTCCATTTAGGGGGAGAAATATGAGCCACTTAGTCTTTTTTTTTTTTTAATCCTCACCTGAGGATATGTTTATTGATTTTAGAGAAAGAGGAAGGAGGAGAGAGAGAGAAAGAGAGAGAGAAGGAGAGAAACATCCCTGTGAGAGAGAAACATTAATTGGTTGCCTCTTGTATTTGCTTTGAACAGGGATTGAACCTGCAAGCTAGGTGTGTGCCCTGACTGGGAATCGAACCCACAACCTGTATTGGTGTACGGGATGATGCTCTAAACCATTTACTCATTTAAAAAATATATACATTTTATTGATTTTTTACAGAGAGGAAGAGAGAGGGATAGAGAGTTAGAAACATCAATGAGAGAGAAACATCGATCAGGTGCCACCTGCACACCCCCTACTGGGGATGTGCCCGCAACCAAGGTACATGCCCTTGACCAGAATCGAACCTGGGACCCTTGAGTCTGCAGGCTGACGCTCTATCCACTGAGCCAAACCAGTTAGGGCTAAACCGTTTACTCTTGTGTCCTTGGTTAGGGAAGACAGGATTTTGCAATGTACTAGATCGCTATAAAGGCTTGGTCGCTTAACCATCTGCTTCAGTTTCCCTATTCCACTTGCCCTGGCTTCCTAACTAGTCTCTCTCACAGGGGCCCAGAAGACTGGGGAGAGCTTTTGTAAAGAGGTACTGAGTTTGTTCCAAGAGATGCTAAGTCAACTGCAGAAGATGTGGCAGGACGTGCTGGCTTGCGTGCAGATGTGCGCCTCCCTTGTCAACATGGTGAAGTTCATCCTGAGTCAGATTATGAATTTCTGCTCCATTGCGGCACAGTCCTTCTCAAGTTTATTCCTGGTCCAAGGAGTCGCATGAGGGCCTGGAGGAGCTCAGTCACACCTCCCAGCCCTTGGGTTCCCCGCCCCCCCCTTCTCAGAAAGAATCTTCTAGAGTAACATTTGCTTTCCTGCTCACCCTTGACCCATCCTCAACAACCTCCCTCACTTCCACCCTGTTCACAGCCTCTCCATCTAGCTTGCCTGGGTTTCCTTCTCTTGCTACAGCATTTTAATAAACGTTGGTTCGCCTGGGGAGGGGGCAGGAGTGGGTGGAGGAGGTCAATGGGGAGAAAGGGGGATCTGTAATACTTTCAACAATAAAGGTAATTTGCTTCAAAAGTTGATTGAACCAAGTTGAGTGCCTGTGTGGATGGGTGGCAGGGTGCTCAGTGGTTACAGGGAGAGGCTGTGCAACAATCAGATGGATCTAGGCCTGGATCTCGGCTCTGGTGAGAAAGGAGAAGCCACCTGACCTCTCTAATCTGTAGACAGGGCCCTGGTCACACTGGCCACGGACTTATAATAGCACATGAGGATGTCAGCCTGTGCACGGCTTCTCACAGGGCCTGGCACACAGTAAGTGCTCCATAGCTGCCCGTTCCTGAACGCAAGGAACTCAGGCCTGAGGGGGCCAGCACTGCTCACCATCTATGAGGCCAGATGCCTCCCACCCCCCAGCCCTGACTTCCTGCTCCAGGCAGATGCATAAAGACCAGCTTTGCATTCAGGGGTGATTGGCAGCAAACAGCAGCTGCTGAGATGAGATGAAGGTGGGGCTGACCTGAAGCAGGTAGAAAGGGGAGGAAGTGGGCCTGATGAAGAGCAAACACCAGCAGTGGGGGTGGGGAAGGGGGGGAGCCAGGAGACCTGAAGGATGGGGGCATTTCAGTGGGTCAGTATCCTGCACCCTCCTCTGCCAGCTTCACACCCTTTGACTGGTAGGACCGACATCTTGATTCCTAGGAGGAGCTCCCGGTAAGGGCCAGGTGTCAGTCCTGCAAGAGGAGCAATGGCTGGACCCAGACCCTTCCGGTAGCGTCTCAGTGATCCCGATAATCCCGAGGGACCCGGCCCCAGCAAGGAGGGCAGTAAAGGCAAGGATCTTCCTCACCTTTGACCCTGGCCTCTACCTTCCTAAGGAAGACGGCAGCCCCTCTGAGAGTTCCTTTTAGCAGAGCCCCACTCGTGCTCACATCCTATCCTCCTTCACTTCCAGGGGACCCTCTGACATGCCTTCACACTGTAAGGCCCATCTCTGGCCTGAATTCCCCGGCTCCAAGGGCTGCCCACTGCAGGTCCTGTTCAGCCTTCACTCACCCTTGGCCATGTCCTCACCTCCCGTCCCAGGCACCATTCTTTTTTTTTCTTCTTTATGTTTGTATGGATTTTTTTTTTTTAAATATGTCTTTACTGATTTCAGAGAGGAAGGGAGAGCGAGAAAGAGGTAGAAACATCCATGATGAAGGAGAATTATTGATCAGCTGCCTCCTGCACAGGCCCTACCGGGAATCACTCACAACCCAGGCATGTGCCCTGAGCAGGATTCAAACTGTGACCTCCTGGTTCATAGGTCGATGCTCAACCACTGAGCCACGCCATGCCAGCTGGGCTCTTTTAGAGATTTATGGATTCTTTAGAGAGAGAGGAAGGGAGAGATAGAAACATCAATGAGAAGGAAACATTGATCAGCTGCCTCCTTGCACGCCCGCTACTGGGGATGGAGCCTGCAACCTGGGCATGTGCCTTAACTGGGAATCGAACAGGTTGGTTCATGAGTCAACTTCTGAGCCACACCAGCTGGGCATCAGTCATCATTCTTGTTCTTTCAAACCCTGTCCATGAATTTCCCAAGTGACCCTGTATCAAACCTCCACTGACCTCTGCTCATGCCCTCCCACTTAATTCTTCTAACAGAAAAAACTGTCCCCCTGCGCTAAAGCCACCAGGAGCTTTGTGGCTTATCAATCCCTTGAGGTTACCTCTTGGCTCACCTCCCAGTCTTGCCTCTTTTAAGCTATTTCAGTCCAGTAGCCAAGCTCTAAATGCTTTCATTGTTAAAAATGAAATAACACCCTAACCGGTTTGGCTCAGTGGATAGAGTGTCAGCCTGTGGACTCAAGGGTCCCAGGTTTGATTCCGGTCAAGGGCATGTACCTTGGTTGCAGGCACATCCCCAGTAGGGAGTGTGTAGGAGGCAGCTGATCGATGTTTCTTTCTCATCGATGTTTCTAACTCTCTATCCCTCTCCCTTCCTCTCTGTAAAAAAAAAAACAATAAAATATATTTTTTAAAAAATGAAATAGCTCCGGCCTAAAAATCTCCTGTGTTCCCCATGTGAATGAAGCCCAACCCTGGCCTGTAAGGCTCTGCCTGCATCATAGGTCCCTGCAGATCCCCCTCCTGGACAACATTCTTTAGCTGCCTGCCAAGCCTCTCCCATCTCAGGGCCTTTGCCCATGCTGTTCCCTCTCTGTTGGAGGCCCTTTCCACCCTCCTGAGGCTGTCTCCCTCCCTCTATTGGAGTCTTTGTTCCCCTCAATAGCCCACACAGTCCCTGGCACACAGTAGGTGCTCAATAAATAATAAGGTTTTAATGCTGTGGGTTCTCCCAGCTCCTCTCAATCTCCTGGTTGACCAATCCTTTCTCTTTGAAATTTCTCCCCCTGGGGTTTTCCATAAGTTGAATGTGTTGTGTGACATCTGGTAGCTCTCTATACCCCAATCTTCCTACCAACCCCCAAAGTGCTGACCTTTACTAGACTCTGAGCTTTCCCACACACCTCCCTTAGTCCCCTGAGCCATGGTGAATAAGTTCTCTAACTTTCTACAAAAACTTGTTAAAGAGCAGTTATGTGTCAAGTGAGGTGGAGGGGCAACAGAAAGTCAGACACAGCATTTTTGTGGGTGAAAAGCCACAGACAACAGGAAGTTCTGATATGCTCTGGAGCTGGGGTGGGCTGTCTTCGTCTCCTGTATTTCTTTTTCATAATATGTGTATTTTAATGTTTTTTTTAATTGATTTCAGAGAGAGAAAGGGAGAGGGAGAGAGATAGAAACATCAGTTGGCTGCCTCCTTTAGCCCCCTACTGTGGATTAAGCCTGCAACCTAGGGAATTGAACTGGTGACCTCCTGGTGCATGGACCAACACTCAACCATTGACCTACACCAACCATTGACCAGGCTCTCCTGTAATTTTATTAGAAATCACATGATTTAGTCTGGCCAGCATAGTTCAGTGGTTGAGCATCGACCTATGAACCAGAGATCACTGTTCGATTCCCGGTCAGGGCACATGGCCGAGTTGTGGTCTTGATACCCAGTAGGGGATGTGAAGGAGGCAGCCAATCAGTGATTCTCTTTCATCATTGATGTTTCTATCTCTCTCTCCCTCACCCTTCCTCTCTGAAATCAATAAAAGTACAAATATTTTTTAAAAGGTAAGACATTTCCAAATAAAACATTTCAAAATTATATTAATTGACGACTGCTGTTATATGAATATAGAACTCTATCCCGGAAGGTATACAATGTAATATCAAAACTGAGAAGAGAGAAATAAAAAAGGAAAAAACAAACTGAGAAGAGCAAATTGGTTCCAATTTGAGCAACAAAGGGTTTAATGGGCAGTGGACACCTTGCTGTGTAGAGAAGGGTCACCAGGCTCAATTTGGTCTCATCAAGGAAATCCCTGAGCTGTGCTTGCCATGGGCCCTGGAGAGAAAGGCCAGAGGGAGATTTGCATTTGACATCCCGAATCTCACCCAGAGCTTTCCCTTTGAAGAGAAGGAATGTGATGCCATCTTCTTTGCCATGTTAGTTTAGTCTCAAGTCAGCATCTAAGGCAAATATAAAGGCATTTTAATATTGTGGATGATTTTTTTGAAATTATTTCTTTCAATCCTTGTTATCAACACAGAGCCGACTTCATTTTGCTTTCCTCTCTGGCATTATCATCAAGTTAGTGAATGTAATTCATTTTTTCATCCTCAGTTCTTTCTGCACCATGCCTTTAATTTTTTTCTTTAGACCAGCGATTTTCCATCCTCTTTATCTGATGGCACACATAAATTACTAAAATCCTGCGGCACACCAAAAATATATTTTTTGCCCATCTGACCAAAAAATAGGTATAATTTTGATTCATTCACATTGGATGGCTATTGTGTTGAATGCTGTCACTTTTTTATTTGACCATCTAAAGGAAAAGAGGTCAGCGCCCATGACTACATAGTCAGGTATTGCACATTGTAAAACTTTTTGGGGCACACAAGTGTGCCTCGTGCAGCACACCAGTTGAAAATCGCTGGCCTAGACACTTCTGGTCACAAGTAGACATTTATCCAATTGTCTCTCTTTTGACCAAATATTTTTCTCTTCTGTTTTTTGTTTTATTCCTGATTAAGAGGAAACTACCAGTATTGTAACAGATATTAAGTTCTAGTAGCTAGTTAATGAATGATGAACTTTAACACTCATTAAGTACAAGTGTCAACTTTACTAAAAAACAGCACAACCAACACACACAAAGAAAATTGTCCATCCCTAGCCGGTTTGGCTCAGTGGTTAGAGCATTGGCCTGTGGACTGAAGAGTCCCAGGTTTGATTCCAGTCAAGGGCAAATGGCTGGGCCATAGGTTGGCGGCCCGTCTTAATTTTCTTTAGCACATATTCGAAGACAGCAGATTTACAGAAACTACTTCCTATGTCTGCAGCCAGACAGCACAATTCCCTCCTAGTTAACAGAAAGACAATACAACACACGGTAGCTTTCTCTTTAACACTTTCACACTCACATTTACACACCAGTCAGTCTGAGTTTTGACTTTTACCCACAGAAAGTCCCTGAGGCAAATATTTTGCCTAAGTAGTGTTCAGCTACTTTTTCTGCCCCTAAAGGCATGCCTGAATGGACTGCACTTCAGCAGACATTCACTCAGAAGTTAAACAGTCCACCTGCACCTGACTAATTTGCCTGACGAAGTCCTATGACTTCCGGGGAGGTGATCAAGATCCCCCCTTCCACTCTCTCGGAGTGGGCCTAACTGCGTGGACACCTACCTTTACCATTTCTGTCGACAGGTCCAGACGTGTCTGTCCACTCTCTCCAGATGCCGGCCGGGTCCTAGGCTGAGGCCCGGGAGCGCCCAGAGTTCCCAGGTTCAATTCTGCTAAGATCAGCGGGGCGCGCCTCCCAGAGGCCTGGTCCACTCACCGGAGGCTAAAAGGCCAGTGCGCTTAGTCCTTCTTGGTCAGGGAACAAGTGATGTTATAGAAGACTGGAGAAAAA